CAGATTTATTACTTATATATAAGACTGTGGCCACATCTCACAATGTTGGACTGAAGAAGCCAGAGAGAGGAGGACACACTGTAGATTGTGTGTGTGCGTCATACAAAATCTGGTGAAAAGGTCAGAAAAGCAGTTACCCTGGGGAAGGTCAGTTTGTGGCTGAAAGGAGGCATGAAATGCTGACCCTTCCGTGTCTTCATCAAGGTGCTGGTTGCATCAATGTGTTGTTTGTGAAAAGTCAGTTTACCTATACTCTCACAATTGTGCACTTTCTGTATACATATTACACTTCAATACAACATTTACAAGATGTATTCAGAGTCTACTGTGTCCTGGGCACTTTTCACTTACATGATGCCTTTCACTTCTAGATTGTTCAAAATTGTTTTCCCTTCATATCAGAGTCTTTTTTTTTTTTTTTTTAAGATTTTATTTATTTATTTGACAGAGAAAAAGATCACAAGTAGGCAGAGAGGCAGGCAGAGAGAGAGTGGAGGAAGCAGGCTCCCCGCTGAGCAGAGAGCCCCATGCGGGATTCCATGGGGTTCGATCCCAGGACCCTGAGACCATGACCTGAGCCGAAGGCAGAGGCTTAACCCACTGAGCCACCCAGGCACCCCATATCAGTCTTTTAAAAGCAAAATCTTTCCTTTCTGTAGGGCCCTCAACTGGTCAATAGTATGAGGAACGCACGGACAACGAATGGTTAAGGGTGGGTATTTTGAATGATTTTCCTCACTTCTCCCCACAAAGAAGTTAGAGGCGTGGCATTAAGCAGATTTCTGGCTTGCTGCCACATTTTCCAGTTTACCTTCAAAGAAAGCATACGTGGCAACTGGCATCTTGACCAAAACCTTAACTTCCTTCTCGTTTCCTGAAAAGTAAGCAGACGACAGATGTATAGCAGGTTCTACTTTAAAAGGGCGGTGTATTTCTTGTAACAAAATGCTGGGAAAAAATTCAAAACAATAGAGATAATGTTAATGACTGGAATTTGTAAGTGGACAGTACTAACTGCTACAACGTGGGTGAGAATACCTAAAAAAATTGAAAGGACACAATTGAGACACATTGTGGGCAGAAGCCAAGATGAAAACAAAAGCCCCTTTCAGGGTGTCCTAGTTTTTGTTCTTCAGACTCTAAGCAGAGGACCTAGGTTTAGTTAATTTTCTTGACTGGAGCCCAACGTGGGGCTTGAACTCAACCTACGCTGAGATCACCGTTGGACACTTAACTGAGTCACCCAGGCATCCCTCAGGTTTAGTTTATTTGGGAGGCAATCCTGCACTTCTGCATGAAGCAGAAATGAGGGAGTGGAGAAAGTGAGGGATGGGAGAAAGGCCACGGGTGAGTTAGTGAGAGGATGTTGGTTGTGGGCAGGCAGGACTCAGTTCCCCTGAGGACACGGTAAGGCATGAGTAGTGTGTGCACCAAGTGACAGACGCTGGGGCACTTACTAACCAGCCCCGTTCTTTACCAGTTGGTGGTGGTTCTGGGGGTGTTATAGCCCCAGCCCTTCTAGACTGCCCTGTGTGCAGGCTGAGCAAGCCCTGTGGGGCAGGAGAAAGAAGTAGGGAATACAGGGCTTGTGGTGGAAAGACCTGCACAGGAACTGCCCACTGGGGCTGCAGGTGACCCCACCGTGGGCTAAGGGATGTGTAGTGGTGTGGGGCATCCACACAAACATCTCTTACTAGGAAGACTTGCTAGAAAATTGAGTCAGATGCTCTTCACAATTGTTCCACACTCATGAAGTTAAATACCAAAGGGTATAACATCCAGAAATAAGCCCTCATGTTTATGTTCAATTCTTGACAAGAGTACCAAAACAATTCAATGGGTAAACACTAGTCTTTTCAACAAATGGTGTTGGGATTACTGGATACCACATGTCAAAGAATGAAGCTGGTCTATCTACTTCATACCATATACAATAATACAAAATGGACCACAGACGTAAATTTAAGAGCTAAAACTATTAAACTCTATCTAAAAACTGTGTAAGAACATAGGGGGTAAATCTTAGTAAACCTTGGATTTGTCAACAGTTTCTTAAACTTAACACAAGAAACATAGCAACAAAAGAAAAAAATGGATACATTTGGAATTCAGCAAAATTAAAACTGTGTTCCAAAAGACACTATAAGAAAATGAAAAGACAACCTATTGAATGGCGGAAAACATTTGCAAATGACAGATCTGATAAGGGACTTACACCTACAATGTACAAAGAACTTTTGTAACTCAATAACAAGATAACTCAATTAAAGAATGGGCAAAGGATCTATCTTAATTGACATTTTTCCGAAGATGATATATAAGTGGCCAGTATGCACATGAGAGGATGCTCAACATCATTAAGTCATTAAGAGAATGCACATCAAAACCAGGAGATACCACTTTGTACCCACTAGGATGGCTAAGACAAAAAGACAGACAGTAACAAGTGTTGGCAAGGATATGTAGAAATTAGGGGCGCCTGGGTGGCTCAGTCGGTTAAGCATCTGCTTTCGGCTCAGGTCATGATCCCAAGGGTCCTGGGATAGAGCTCTGCATCGGGCTCCCTGCTAGACTGGAAATCTGCTTCTTCCTCCCCCTCCTGCTCCCCCTGCTTGTGCTCTCTAATAAATTTTTTTTTTTTTTTTAAAGATTTTATTTATTATTTGACAGACAGAGATCACAAGTAGGCAGAGACAGAGAGGGGGAAGCAGGCTGCCTGCTGAGCAGAGCCTAATGCAGGGCTTGATCCCAGGGTCCTGGGATCATGACCTGAGCTGATGGCAGAGGCTTTAACCCACGGAGCCACCCAGGCGCCCCTCTAATAAAATCTTAAAAAAAAAAAAAAAAAAAAAAAAAAAAAAAGGATATGGAGAAATTAGAACCTGTTGATGGGAAATGTAAAATGGTGCAGCCATTCTGAATAGTAGTTGCTCAAAAGGTTAAATGTAGGGCAGGTCCACTCTTAGATATATACCTGATTTAAAAACCTGTGTCCACACAAAAACTTGCACACAAATGTTCAGAGCAGCATTACTCATATAACAGAAAGTGGAAACCCACATATCTTTATTAATGATTTGAGAGAGAGAGAGAGAGCACAAGTGGAGGGAGCAGCAGAGGAAGAGGGAGAAGCAGACCCCTCGCTGTGTGCAGAGCCTGACATGGGGCTGAATCACAGGAACCCAGAACCCCAGGATCATGAGCTGAGCTGAAACAGACCCTTAACTGACTGAAGCCACCCAGATGCTCCTGGAAACCCAAATGTCTTTTAAGTGATAAATGGATAAACAAGATGTGGTATATACATCCAATGGAATGTATTATTTGGCAATTAAAAGCAATAAAGTACTGAGAGGTGTTAAAGTACATATAAACCTTGAAGACATGGGCTAAGTGAAAGCCAGTCACAGGTCACTTAGCTTATGATTCCATTTATAGGAATGTATAGAAGAGGTAAATCCATATAAAGTAGATTAGTGGTTGCTTGGGGCTGAGGGGATAAGATTGGGACCCAATAGCTAAAGGGTCCTGAGTTTCCTTTTGTGGCAATAATGTAGAATTGATTATGGTGATTAAGTTACACAACTCTGAATATACTAAAAACCATTACACTGTATACGTTAATTTGTGATTTTGTACAGTATATGAATCTCAGTAAAACTGTTACAAAAATAAGAGCATGGAAGCATATGTACCTACTTTTTCTGTAAATTCTCATGTTTTAGCTATTACATTATCATTAAAGCAAAACTTATTCTAAATCTGTACATGCTTTGTTCATTCAGTATGGAAGTTTTCTCCCACACAACTGTGCCTGTTCTTCAGTAAATGGAACAAAGTATACATATATATATATATATATTTTTTTTTTTTTTTTAAAGACTTTATTTATTTATTTGACAGAGACACAGCAAGAGAGGGAACATAGGCAGGGGGAGTGGGAGAGGGAGAAGTAGGCTCCCCGCTGAACAGGGAGCCCCATGTGGGGTTTTGAGTGGATCACGACCTAAGCCGAAAGCAGATGCAGAACGACTGAGCCACCCAGGCGCCCCGGCACAAAGTATATTTTAACATGCCAATGCTGTTCCTGTCATGAGCTTTTTTTTACTAATTCTGTCTCATTTTTCTCAGATTAAAAGAATGACTAGAAGTAGATTATTGCAGATGGAACAACACCATTTTAGAACCTTCTTAGCTTTGCCTCCTCTCAGTCTGCCTCAACCTTGGTCTGGAGTAACTTCTCACTCCACATTTAAAGAAGAAGAAAACAGTAATCCCCTGTTTATAAACCGTTCCTTGGCTTATCTAGTACTTTTGAGAAAACATCCAGAATCCCACCATAAGCTCGAAGGCCCCGTGTGGCGGCTCTTGCTAATGTCTTTCCTCCTTCAGGCCCTTCTCCTGCTGTGGCCATTTTCTAGTGCCCTTTTCCACCACACAGGAGGGTTTGTTAAATGAACAAGTACACTTTTTTATTCTCTAGGTGGAAGACATTTTCAAATAGATCTAAAAATCTTTATGGCCACACAGGGCAAGGCTTAACTGCGAATTCATAGATGAGCTTTGAGTGTCTGTGTTTTTTATGGAAATGTGCATTTTTCTGGAGAAAGCATCCATAACTTCCATTAGAGTTTCAAAAATACCTATCACACAAAACAAGCAGGTCCTACAAACCTACCTACAAAACAAGGTAGGTTTCTGATTTAAGGGAATAATGAGGCTCACAGAAAAATGGAGACAAAAATAAAGTGAGAGGCTGAAGCAGCCATTGTGTATTTATCACACACAATGGCACTATAAAACATAAACTGCCTTTGTCATTCTTTTTTAAAAAACATTTTATTTATTTGACAGAGAGAGAGAGACATACACACACAGCAAGAGAGGGAACACAAGTAGGGGGAATGGGAGAGGGAGAGGAAGAGGGAGAAGCAGGCTTCCTGCAAAGCAGGGAGCCTGACATGGAACTCCATTCCAGGACCCTGGGATCATGACCTGAGGCAAAGGCAGACGTTGGACTGAGCCACCCAGGTGCCCCTGCCTTTGTCATTCTTGATGGTTTTAAGTACCAAGGTGATCAGGAATCCCTATGACTAAAACAAAAACTAGCTGCTTATCCCCCGATTTTCTCACCCCTGCAGTTAGCCACAGAAACCCCCTTGCTTCCTTCTGTAGTAGCAGCTCCTGTTGATGGTGATTTTCCATGGAAGGTCGTGCTCTCCAGAAGTTTCTGGAAACTACACACGCCAGTCCCCTATTCCAAGATCTGATATGCCTTATGTCATCCCAGGGGTGTGCTGGGTATGTGTGAGGTTGAGAATCATTAACCTAAACAATGTTCCCCCAAGAAGCCATCTAAAATCCCAGTCATGTCTTGCAAATTCAAACTGTTTAAAGAACGTGAAATGTCCAAATGGCAGTGTATCTACATAAACCAATAAAACATCTGTCAGTGGCAATTTAATTTTAGTACTTTTCCAAAAAACCCCCAACTTACAAATTAGTATGCATCGGTGTATCTGTTCTTGCACACATACACTCATTCGTTCCCTCATCTTAAGTTCAGCCTTCTACAGGACAAGGTTTCTGGGGCTCCATGATGACTGTGTGAGAGTCTGTGCCCCAAGGAGCCTCTCCGTCTAGATACAGACTGTTTGGTGCGGCCACGGCATCGCAGGCCAGAACAACTCCTCTTCTATTCTGGATGCACAAGGCAGATGCCATTTCTGTCACAGCCCAAGTTCACGTATCCAGGTGCTTGTAGAGTCGGCGACTTTTCTCTTTTTTATTTCTGTTGCCATGTTTTTTCCAGGCCTTCCCAGCCCTGCTCTCAGAGCTCATAGTAGCTGCAGTCACCAGGCCACTCCCTGGCTTGTAGCCCATCACAGTCTGGACTCCTTTGGTCAAAGCTCTCACATTTTCCTAGGAAGTAAGACAGCATTATTTGAAATGTGAGCACGGAATTACTTATGGAGAACTCGAAGCAGACTTCCACTTCCTTCACTGCTCCTTTCCTCATTTTTTTTTTTTAATAAGATTTTATTTATTTTTCAGAAAGAGAGAGTGAGCGCACAAGCAGGAAGAGCGCCAGGCAAAGGGAGAAGCAGGGTCCCCTCCTGAGATCATGACCTGAGCTGAAGGCAGACGCTTAACCGACTAAGTCACCCAGGCGCCTCTCTCTCCCCATTTTTAAATAAGTTTCTCAGCATTCTGTCTTCAGTGCATTCTTTGTCCTCCTCAACTTTGCTTAGTCCTAGAGCTTCAAATACCATCTCTCACTAGCCACAACAGAGCACTCCCACTGCCTTCCTCGTGTATTGCATACACCCAGCCACTGAGTTCTCTGGATCGCAGGCTCTAAGATTTGGTGCATCTATCCCCTCCTCTCCACCACCTGGCTCTAAGCCTGGTATTCACTTTCACTGCAAGTGAAACAAATATATATGTATTTATCCAGGCTCCAGGCTTCCACTAGACTTCTCCAATCACATATTCCTCTTCCTGTCCTCACAAGCCCCTGGTGGCTCCCTGCAGCCTGGGGAATCGAGTTCCTATTCCCTCACATGGTGCACAGGCTACTGACAACATGGACTGTTTACTCAGAGAACCCACACCCCCATCTCTTCATGCCTTTGTTCAGACTACTCCCCCTGCCCGGGGCGTGCCCTCACTACTCCCTGCACCTGGCACATTTCTAGCTGTCTGTCAGAGTCCAGCTGAGGTCTCACCACCCCTCCGTAGCTTCACTCGCCTACTCTCCTCCTAGCCCCAGGAGGAACTACTCCCTAGTCTGGTTTCACAAAGTACTTGACTTACACCTCTGCCCTAGACCTGGTATGTCATGTTATTTGTTAACTTGCCCATCTCCCCTTAGCTAGAATGTGATCTCCTTGAAAACAGTGTCTTATTCATTTTGGTATCCTAGGTCCTAGCACAGTAGGCACATGTAGAAAGTGCTCAAAAAAGTTTTTGTAAACGTGACTTTACTTAAGTGGAACACAAACAAACAAACAAACAAAAGAACTAAACAAATTTTAAGTTTACTGAGTTAAAAAAAAATAAATCCCACATGATTCTGGAAATGCAAAGCAGTATTTCATGATCTTCTTATAATAGTAAAATGTTACTCTAGAGGCTAAAGCTTTGGTATCTGTGTTTTTAGCTTTCTTGCACATGACCTTGAGAAACATTGTGTAACACTTAAAACTTCCATTTACACGTCTTGCATGACAATAGTAGGCCCAAGGAAGAACCTGTAATCTTTCTGCATATCATTAAATTTCCTTCTAAATATTGGTAAGACTGAAAAGAATTCAAACCAGGAGCCACAACAATCTAAGTTCTATCTCAGCTTTGCCATTTAAGACAAGTGTCCTTGAATAAGTCACTTAAATTCCGTGAGCTTCAATGTCCTCACTGGTAGATAATAATGGGGACAATACTATCTGCTTGGCCCACCTTAACAAACGGTGTGAGGGACACAAATAAAGCATCATATAAATACAGTAAGACTCATTCTCTGGATACAAATGACCCCTACCCCACCCCAACTTTTCTGGCTGTAGCAATCACAAAAGCATTTAATAAATATATTAAATACAGTTACAGGATTTAACTGCTCTACATATATATTTGTTCTTTAAAATTACTATGTATTGGCTCAGAAAACCCACTTAATGGTAAACAATATTTGCATATTATGATAAAGGCTTATATTGGAACATATAAAGAACTCTTATACCTCAACAGGAGAAGTGTTCTCCAAAGAAGACATACATGTGCTCATGAGCACATGAGAAGATTATCGATATCATTTATCCTTAGGGAAATACAAATCAAAATCATGACATATCACTTCACATATACTAGAATGGCTAAAATGAAAAAGAAAAGAAATGCTGGTAAGGGGGCGCCTGGGTGGCTCAGATGGTTCAACATCTGCCTTTGGCTCAGGTCATGACCTCCAGGTCCTGGGATCGACGTTGGGCTGCCAGCTCAACAGGAAGTTTGCTTCTCCCTTTCCCTATGCCTCTCCCCCTGCTTGTGCTCTCTCTGTCTCTGTATCTCTCTCAAATGAATTAAAAAGAAAAAAAAAAAATCTAAAAAAAATTAAATTAAAAAATTAAAAAATATATATATATAAAAGAAATACTGGTAAGGATGTAAAAATTAGAGCCCTCATACACTGCTGGTGGGAATGTATAATGGCACAGCCACTTTGGAAAGTTTGGTGGTAAATCAAATGTTAAACATGGAGTTACCATTGGACCCAGAAATCCCACTCCTAATTATATACCCCAAAGAACTGAAAAATCTTATGTTCAAACAAAAGCTTGTACATGAATGTTCACAGCACAGAAGAAAGAACAGCCAAATTCCATCTACTGATAAATAAACAAAATGTGGTCTATCGATTCAATGGAATATTATTTGACAATAAAAAAGAAGTACTGATACATGGATAAACCTTGATGTCATGATGCCAAGTTAAAGAAGCATGTCATAAAAGACCACAGAATGGGTGATTCTATTTATCTGGATAGGCCAATCTATCTAGGAGAAAGTAGATGAGGGATTGGCAGGGGTTGGGGGGAGGGGGGGAATGTTGAGTCACTGCTAATGGGTATAATATTTCTTTCTAGAGTGAAAAAATGTTCTAAAATTATGGTGATAGTTGCACAACTCTGAATATAGAACAAACTACTGAACTGTATTTGAAAAGAGTGAATTTTATGCTATGAGAATGAGTATTTCAACAAAACTGCTATATAAAATGTGTTGGATCAGAAGGTAAAGAAAAACTTTAAAACTTACTTGATGAAAAAAAGTTTTATCAACTATATTTTCAATCTGTATTATTTTTTTACTTCTGCCTGAATGGATTTTCAGTCCGCGACCATTTGTTCTGTTCTCTAGGAGTCGCTGGTGTTGCTGCTGAAAGATCACAGGGTCTCTTCCAGGAGGAGGATGACAGTACAGAAGTTTACCCTACAAAGACAACAAGAAGCGTAACAGCACATCACAGGTGCCATGTGTGTTATCCCAGAAGAAAAAGTCCTCCGAGAAGCTATCTCCCCCAGGCACCCTCTGGCAAGCTTAAGCTTCCTGCTTTTTGATGCAGAGAGCTGAGCAGAGTTCTGTCACCTATAACCACAGCCCTAACGAACACACGACTGTGCTCCTTCTTACCTTGTTTGCATTTTCTACAGAAGTGTTCTTCAGTACACTAACATGAGTAGACTTAGGATAAATATTTTCCAAAACAAAAACCAGGACACAACCGGACAGTGGGACGATACTAATGGGGACGTTGGGCTGGCCGCGGTTGCTCACTGGGCGCAGATTTTCCACTTCCCACTGTAAGCACTCTATAAACTGTGTTGGTTTTAACTCATCTTCCACGGTTCAATACATAATTTATCCATATGAATATTCTACTAACTTCTTTCTTCCAGAACTGAAGGCGAGAGGGTATGCTGCCCAATCTGACTCCTGTGCTTGCCAGAGCTCTGCTGACATGGCACTGAGAAGGCCGAACAAAGCCAAATCCTCACAGCCAGTTATTACTGGAGATCCAGAATGCTTGTTTGTGAAAAGAATTCAGCTTAACCCATAAATACTATTGGGGGTTAATTATGTGTGAGGCCCTGAGCTTAGTGGTGTGTGTGTCTCCACATACCTATATCTTTCTCATTTATTTCGCATAATAATCTCTTGAGATGGGTACTATTAATTCTTATTTTACTTACAAGGAAAACCCCAAACTTGGCACATGTTCATTTGTAACATGAGAATAATAACCTCATAGACTCGCTGTGTATTTTTAACGAGGTGACACAAAGAAAACATTTCGCACTGCCCTCAGTAGGGCTCGCTGGGAGTGCTGCTGTTATGAGGGCAAGTGCAGGGACAAAGGCTCACGACCAGCTACACTGCAGGGAGGGTTGGGGACACAGCTGTCACAGGAACTAGCAAGGGCTGCGGGAGATGGAAAAACCACAGGCGCCATTTTCTCACTTTCACCGATGACACGTGCAGCGCCCTCTGCCTCGCATTACGCTGCTCGTGACGTGCCAGGTCCAGATGACGCTAGCTGCCCCGGTCAAGAATGCCTGGCCAAGGCTGTGGATCCCCTTACCCAGAAAAGCCGCGAGAACCTTGCCCACGTGGCCTCTCTGACAACACAACCTCAGTGAGGAAATATCTCCTTTCTAACAGGTTGCCGGCATCTAAAAGCACAGTGTGAGAATGAAGACCTATCTAATCCAGAGCAACAAGGAGCCAGGCTCACTTACGCTGACGTAGTCCTTCAAGATATAGCGAGCAGACCGAGGCTGGTCCGGCTGCCCATGCGCCGTCATGAATCCTCGCATGTCTGTGAGGCAAATAACGGTGCAAAACCGAAGTCACAATAAAGACAACCAAGGTGATGAAAATTTAGTCTGTTACCCCACTAACTGTGCATCCTGACTTGTTAGCTTTATTTTTTAAAAAAGATTTTCATTCATTTGGCCAGGGGTGGGGGAGCAGGGGGGAAGGGGGAGCATAAGCAGTGGGGAGAGGCAGACCCCCCGCTGAGCTGGGAGTCCAACATGGGGCTCAATCCTGGGACCTGGAGATCACGACCTGAGTCGAAGGCAGACACTTAACCATTCGAGCCACCTAGGCACCCTTGAGTCACTAGCTTTCAAAAAGCAACCATCACTGTAGAAGATAATCTGGTTAGCACTATAAAGACATCTGACAGTCCAGGTGAACAGACGATATTGTTCTGATATCCAAGCACCAAGTGGTAACAGAGATATTCAATTTCTCTCTACTCCAGTTACTTCTTTCATCTCTTCATTTTATGAACATTTAATCATGGAGGCTACCTGTAGAATGCTATGTTGTCACTATTATTAGCAACACCAAAAGTAATACAGTAAGTCTCTTCTTGTTTAGTGATCTAGCTATGCTTTTTCCAGCTTCTCAAACATACTGCAAAGATCCCTCTAAAACTGACTCAACTAGAGGCAGTAGCAGAGCATAGTGGTAAAGAATATAGGCTTTGGCAGACAGGTGGGGTTCAAAACTCGGCTTCCTCACCTACTAGCTGTGTAGTAGGCTCTGCCACTTTGGAAGAAAATAAAACACTAGTTCACATAATATTAAAAAATACATTTAGGCAAATTAAAAATCTAAAAGTATTTAAAAAAAGATAGAGGGAAACAATTTTGTCCTTAGATAGGAAAGACTCTCCCCAAGTAAAACACCAAACCCCATCAAGCCAAAAAGGGGGGAAAAAAAAAAAAGGCTATTAAAATTGTTAATGTCAGGTGCCTGGGTGGCTCAGTGGGTTAAGCCTCTGCCTTCAGCTCAGCTCAGGTCATGATCTCAGGGTCCTGGGATCGAGCCCAGCATCGGGCTCTCTGCTCAGCAGGGGGCCTGCTTCCCCCATCTCTCTCTGCCTGCCTCTCTGCCTACTTGTGATCTCTCTCTCTGTCAAATAAATAAATAAAATATTTTAAAAAAAATTGTTAATGTCTACAGGACCAAAGAAACCATAAAGAACTCCTACAAATCATTAAGAGAACAAAAGATGCTTAGAAAAAGGTGATTCCCAAAAGAAACAGAAATGGCTAACATACGGACAGATGTCCCATTTCACTAGTATTTAAAGAAATGCAAATTAAAATTTAGCAACATCTTTTAAAATGAACTGTCAGAAACTATTCTGCAGATGATCTCAGAAACTGTACATATGTGGTCATCCGTTTTTATTCTGATTTTATCAGATTTAGATGAGAAATCTTAAAAAACTCAAACTCAATTACTTTTCTTTCTATCTGAAGTCAAACTAAATGGAAGGTCCAGTGGAGGTCCACCTTTCCCCATCTTTCAGGCTCTGGTCCCAGACAGAGGTCGGGATTAGGAATCAGGTTCTCATCCAGGCTATACCACTGACCAGACACCATCGTGGGCAAGTCATTTCATGCCCTTGATTTCAGACTACTTGTCTTAAGAAAAGGAGGTGAAAGGTGGTGTGATCTTTAAGGTCTTTTCTAGCTCTATGATTTTGTGACTACACCAGTTTCATCAAAATTGCTTAGTATTCATTCTCTTTAAAGTCTCCCAATTAGGGGTGCCTGGGTGGCTCAGTCATTAAGAGTCTGCCTTCAGCTAGGGTCATGTTTCAGGGTCCTGGGATCGAGCCTCACATCAGGCTCCCTGCTCGGTGGCAGGAGGCCTGCTTCTCCCTCTCCCACTCCCCATGTTTGTGTTCCTTCTCTGTCAAATAAATAAATAAAACCTTAAAAAAATAAAAGTCTCTCAACCTAAGTTCAAGTTCTGGTTTAAGTATGTTTCATATCAAATCACCTTTCTCTGTGAGAAAAATACATGTTTTTTTCTCTTTGTATCAAATCACTCAAATAACCTGAACTCCTTCCCCGCTGGTGGCAGTTCCTTTAAAGGCATGTATGCCACAGATGTATGGAAATGTTTCTAACACTGCTATCTCTTTAGGTAGACAAAGGTTCCTCCAGACCACATTTAAAGTTTCTATTTAAGGTAAATAAACCACATTTAGCTGAAGAATGATAGGCAGCTAGCTCCCACGTAGCACTGGGTTAAGACACAGAGGTGGGAGAGTGGCTGACTCATTTTAAAGTCACACAAGGTTTTCAAAGGACCGATGGAAGCAAGGGAGACTGTTCTGTGTCCCCTTCCTGACCATGCTCCACTCTGTCCCAATTTCTGAGGACTTTCCTTTTCCATGCTGCCCTCACAACTCTCCTCTCCTGCTATCACAGCATATTCATTTTCTTCCCAACATTCCTTCACTTCTGTTTGGGAGAAGACTCCAGAAAAAGCCAACATGGCTTCAGTCAGAATGCAGGTCTACACCTGAGTACCAATAAACCAGTGAATGCCCTAAGGGCCTTTTCTTCAACACATGTGACAGCTGCTGGCATGCCCCCAGAGCTTTTGACACTGTCTGCATGTAGGCCTCCTACAGGGAGGGGCCGGAGACCAGGAGGGCAGGGGAAATCATGTCTCCCCTGGAGTGGGACTGATTGCTACTGTCAAGGTCCACAAAGAGCAGACCTGAAGAAGAGTCCAGGGACTCAAATGATCTCCTTCTCTAGCTCCAGGAAGCGCTTAACACGATAAAGTAATCTACTACTCAGGCAGTGGTCAGCTCTCCCTCCCTCACTGTTGCACTCTGAACCCACCTGCAGGGTAGCTTATGGGTAAGGCCAACAGAGACAACAGAAGTACCAACAATGTAAAGGACATGCAAATACTAAGGAATAATGTGAATTTGTATCTTTGCAGGAGTAACTCTCTCATTAACTATGTTACTTTTTCGTTCATATTTTAAAATAAATCACAACTCACATCCATAAGCTGTCAATAGTTCTTCTGATGTTGGAGGTCGATGCGGATCTTCATCCTCTCTAGGCTTTATGATATTAATGCCATAGGTAGCTTCTAAGACATGTCTTGGAATATTCTGGCAAACATAGGCTTGTCAAGGAATCCATTCCCTTGAACTGAACCCCTCCCCACCACAGCTTCAGACACATTCTTCCTAATTCAGCACTTCCAGGACAGAAACCTTTTTACCTCTCCAGAAAAGAAGGGTAGTTACTAATTTCTGAATACTTTTTCTTCCTTTAAACCCCATGCTTCCTTGTACCAGTTATTCATGGACATGCTCCATCTGACCGCCCCCCCAACTGAATCTGGCAAGGGCAGGATCCACGGCTGATTGATGCCTGTAGCCTCCATGGAACCCAACCTAACCTGGCTTGTGGTAAGTACTCAGTACACACCTGGTTACTAATTCACAGAGAAGTTGCAAATATACAGAGAAGCATTTAGTGTAACATGTGTTCCCAACTATCAAGAGGTAGTAACAATGTCATCTATTAAAACACTGTACTGAAGGGGAGCCTGGGTGGCTCAGTGGGTTAAAGACTGCCTTTGGCTCAGGTCATGATCTTAGGGTCCTGGGATCAAGTCCTGCATCGGGCTCTCTGCTCAGCAGGGAGCCTGCTTCCCTGCCCCCTCCCACCCGCCTGCCTCTCTGCCTACTTGTGACGTCTGTCTGTCAAATAAATAAATTAAAAAAAAAAAAAAAATCTTAAAAAAAAAAAAAGTGCTGAAAATGCAAACCTTTCTAACACTGTACCAGCCCCACCTCGCCCCCTGGAGGTATGTGAGTCTGTGTGCAGTCACCAGGCCACTTTGCAGACTTTGACCTTCACCAGTATCTATTAATTCAAAGTATGGTTCTGCAAGATGACAGTTTTTACAGAAATGGTGTCAGATCGTATGTGTAATGTTTTCAGATTTACCCGGGTCACTACAGGTAGACTTAGTGCAGTCTTTTCAAATACTGTGTATTATTCTATTTTAGCAATACACTATATTTTACCTATCCTAAATGAATTCTTTCTTCCTCATTTCTTACAGAAACAGAAATTAAACTGGGGTGCATGAAAAGCTGTGGCCTTCAGGGAGGTCATGAAGGATCATGTCAAGAACTATAACTTACCCTACCTAGGAACTAACAGATTGGTGTGCTGGTCTCAGGGAGTGGCCTGTCTCCCGCCAGCACACACAGCATAGTAAACAGGCTAACATGTTGGCTTATAAGGACGGTAAAACCTTAAGACACCATGGTTCTTAAAAGGTTTGTCTCTGAGTACTTTTTTCATGTCATACACTATTCTAGATGCTTCACAGAAGGTAACTCATTATGCTGGGAGGTGACAGAGTTCCTAATCAGCTGCTTACTAGCTGCTAGATCTTGGCAAATTGTTTAAGTTCTCTGTGCCTGACTTTCCTCAAGCTTGAAAAAATGAGAACAGCAGCAGTACCCACGTCAAGGGTACTTTAATTTACTTTAATTCTTTAATTCAAGAATTAAATGAAATTACTTGGTAAGTTTTGTGTGGAGCACACAGTAAGCATGCAATAAATGTTGGCTAAAATGATTACAATTCTCACTGTGAGATCATCAACTGTGAAGTAGTTTTTCGGAATTTTTCAGAAAAGGAATGTTTCTGGAAGGTTAAGCAAGCTTACAAAGGTAACAGAAATAGTCGAACACCAGTGTCAGGATTCAACCGGGAGCCGAGATCCAAAGCCCAGGCTCTCCCACTGATAACAGGCGACAGAGTTGCCATCGGGACATGAGGTCTTCCTCCCACAGTCCTGAGGCTACTTCACTGTATAAACTTGGAAAGATCACTAGCCAGTATTTCAGGTTTTTCCATTCAGTAGCATTTGTGAATTTATCCAATGCAAAGCAATGTCCCAAACAAACTTGAAGCCCTAATATACACAAGAATAACCAATTTTTACAAAGCAGAAAGGATATTAGTGACACAGGGGGGACGTGGTCTCTCATTTGGTCAATTGGGAGGATTCCACTGCAAATCATCTCTGCCTTAGTAGAGACGAAGGATGGCATCACCAGGCCGGGGCAGTCACACAAGCAGAGGCTGGGTTCCACATAGAGGGTCTGAAAGATAAGTGAGAAGTTTACGCTGGGCACACAGCAGAGGAAGGGAAAAGACCAGCACACGAGTAGCAAAGACGTTCAAAGAAGCACCCAGAGGGAGGAATCTGAGAAGTCGATGCTGCAGAAATACCTGGAAATGCTTGGTGTGGCCAGGTGTGGCAGACACAGACACTTTCTTGTCACCCATGATGGTGTTGATTGTGGAACTCTTACCAACATTTGGGTAGCCCACCTGCGAGAGACACCTCAGTTACTGAAGAGTCAAACACTACCTCTGTCGAACCCAAAGTAAAATACACACAAAGCACAACAGTAGTGCGTTTGGGGGCTTTAAAACATTTGAAATAGATGCTGCTTGTTGACAATTTTCTCCCCGGTGGTATGGGCGTATTTATTCAGACAAGTTTCCTGGTGAATAAATTCTTCCTCATCACTGTCTGCAGTGATGAACAGTCAAGCTAAGTACATTTTACTTTTATAGGTCTTGCTGTAACAGCAGATGTTACGATAAACCTCAGCCCTCTGTTCCCAGCTTTCCCCAGGATGTCCCATCTCACAGGCATTTCACTGATTCTGCTGTGTTTTTCACACTGTGGGTGAAGTCAAGCATCAGAAAGGCATTTTAAACACCACCACATACAATTAATCTTTAATTTTTAATAACTTGTTAGGAAGTTTCTGTCTTACTGGTTAAAAAAATTTTTTTTAATTGGTTAAAAATTTGAAGTGGCACATTGACTTGATATGGGTTAGCAAGCTCTTAAAGCTCTTCAATTACTCCTAGCAGGATCATAAAAAAGTTCTCATGGCAGCCTTGCTCCAGGCTTTTCCTCAGGCTTCCCCCTGTACCTCCAAATCCAATTCACTCTTACTTCTAAGAATCCTTTATCAGTGTGACTGGAAGATTATAAATACCAATTCCATTAAACATAAAACCTAAATCTTCCACCTCTATTCTAGGCCTCATTACAGACAATATCCATTGTTCCAGTCTTTGCTCTCGCTCCTCTCCACACTTAGCCAAACTGTTATCTGCTGTTCCATGAACACATTTCCATTCCTGTGGCTTTGCTTAAGCATTTACCTTCTGTCTGTCTGGAAGGCCCTCCCATGGTCTCTTTGTCAAAACCTCACATTATACTTTCAGGTGAGAAACCTCTTACATAAAGATTTCAGATGACTGCTCATTGTTCTCAATATTCTCATGTTTTGTGTTTGTTTATATCTTGATTACATGACTTATTACTATTTGTTTCGATGGCATTCGTTGTGGGGAGGGCACTGTTGTTGCTGTTCTCTCCCCCCACCTTCTGCAGATCAAGCTCCTTCATTACACACTCCTACAGGCTGCAGGATGTATTCTCACACGCACCACACCTGGAACTCCAAGCTCTGGGAGGGTGAGGACTGGGTCTGTCTGCTCCCAATATACTGCTAGAGACCAACAGGATGCCTGGCCTGTGGCACGTGACCAGTAAATGTTCGTAGACTGAGGAAATTAACCTATTCTTGGGATTTCTAGAATAAAACATTCAGAAAGTAGAGGGGCTGCTTCGTACTTCCCTAAGTGTGAGAAAGAAACTAGCATTTAGGGAAGCTGGTTTCTGGTAGCATGAAGAAAATGACCTAAGTTCTCCAAGCTTCACAGCAAGTGAGTCCATCCCACTGTAACTGGGCAGTGTACTAGGTCTGCCCAGCTCTAGGGGCAATTCCTTTAACCAGCACTCTGAAGTGAAACGTTGACGTGCTACAATCATTGTAAGTAGGCTTGTGGGGGGTGGGGTGGGAGCACACTTCAAAACAATTAGGATTAGCTATACTTGGTATGTAACTTAAGAGTTAGAAGATTTTAAACCTGTCATGATCTACTTTCCCTCATGCTTTTGTTCTCTTGGATGAGAGACCTTTACAATAACCTTCTCTGACATCTAACATCTCCTTAGCTAAAGATGGGGCCTCTGGAGCTGTGCTGTACATCTTTGAGGTAGCACTTCTCACAGCCACCTCTAGAACTAGTATATGTAGCTAAGGATGGGAGCTCCTTTCCCTTGTTCTTTTTTTTTTTTTCCTTAAAGATTTTATTTATTTGACAGAGATCACAAGGAGGCAGAGAGGCAGGCAGAGAGAGAGGGATAAGCAGGCCCCCTGCTGAGTAGAGAGCCCGATGAGGGGCTGGATCACAGAACCCTGAGACCATGACCTGAGTCAAAGGCAGAGGCTTAACCCACTGAGCCACTCAGGTGCCCCTCCCTTGTTCTTAGGCACCTAAAGCAGTAGTCACGTTTTACTTGGCCCAAAGATGCTGGGATTTTCCCTAAAATACACCTGGAATATTTACAGTACAAGCTGGCAAGGATCACATAACACCAATATGAGGTAAGATTATTGAACTGGAAGTCTGAAGACAACCTTAAAGGCGTTCTCATTCTGCTACCTCTTTGTAAGTCACAGGACTGGTAGGGCTGAAATGGAAGATGAGAGAAGATAACTGATATAAACAGGGAAGATGAGAGAAGATAACTGATATAAACAGGGTTGTAACCAATATAAGTCTTGAGAGCGTTCACTCTTTTGAGCTGGACTTCAGCTATTCCCACAATGCCAGCAGACAACAAGAAGGCAATAATGTTCCCTATGATGCCAAAAGGTTGGTTGGTCTCTTGGGTTCCAGTGTAGCTACCAAAGGATCAGAAATAAAGGCACCCATGTGGTGGGGCACGTGGGTGGTACAACCAGTTGCATCCAGCTTCAGGTTTTGGCTCAGGTTGTGATTTCAGGATCCCGAGATCAAGCCCTACTTTGGGCTCCATGCTCAGTGCATAGTCTGCCTGGGATTCTCTCTCCCTCTGCCCCTTCCACTTCTACTCTCTCTCTCTCTCCAGTAAAAAAACTTTTTAAAAAAGATTTTATTTATTTGTCAGAGAGAGAGAAAGAGGGAGGGTGGGAGGTGGAGAGAGAGCGTGAGCACAAGCAGGGGGAGCAGGAGACAGAGGGAGAAGCTGGGTCCCTGCTGAGCAAGGAGCCCGAGGTGAGACTCGATCCCAGGGCCTCAGCAAAAGGCAGATGCTCAACCAGCTAAGCCATCCAGGCAGCCCTCAAATAAGAAAATCTTAAAAAAGAAAGAAAGAAGAAAGTACCCATGCAGTAACAATCTGAGGACCTATTTCATCTTACCAGTCCAACTGTAAGTTGTCCGTCTTTCACCTTCTTCCCAGTGTGCAGCTGCTTAAAGATCTCCAACAATTCCTGCCTCGATACCAGGTGGGTAAAATTGTGTGTGCACTCCTTCCGCAGGGTCTTCCTACTCAGAGCCTCAGAATCCACAGGACAGCTTCCCTGCCAGTCCAGGCCACAGGCCTCTTCGTCAGGATTGCTATCCTCTTCCGAGCATGTCTGCCAAACCTCTTCCTCCTCCTCCGGACAGTCCTCATACTCACTGGAGTCTTCATCGCTAGGGGCAACGTCACTGAGTGCGAGGGAACTGGTGTCTGGGAGATGTCCGGGCTCACTGCATGAGACCACAGCCTCATCACAACTGGATTTTTCGGACTCGGCTGTGTTGGTTTCTCCAGCATCCCCTTTCACCTGCTCCTGAAGAGAGGACAGAAACCACCAAAGCTCAGAAGTGTATGACAACGGCACCTTCCACCCTAGTGAATGTACTCAGAGCTGGTTATCTCAGATGAAGACAGGACAGGACAAGTTATGAAGGAGACCAGAAAAGATGAAAACAGGGAGACAAGGTAAACTTTTTGGTGAAAGGACACAACAAACTAGCAGAAGTGGTGCTCTCTGGGGACGGGAGGAGCAGTGGACCTTCACTTTACACATTATGTTTGTATCAGATACATCTTTAAAAAAAGCAAGAGTTTAGAAAAAGCTGGTGTCAAGCTGACTTCTTTAGCAGTATGTTATTTTGCACCAGGCTGTAGAACAAAGCATTTCTCGTTAATGATAAAATATTTAACATTCTCTTCTTTGCACAAAACAAGAAGGGAATGGTTTATAATTTGAGTTTCTTTTTACATTTCCATTTTTAAAGACCATGATTTGCATGTTACAGGGAACTGCTATTCCTTTGTAATTGCCTTTAATAAATCAAAGCACTGTGGAGCATAGCTCCCTCTGGATGAAATGCAGAAGCAACAAAACTCAACTCCACATGTGAAACTTATTCACATAAGCAAAGAGAAAGATACGAATCATTTACTCTTCAAGGATGTGTTAATTCTTCTGAATTCCTACTGATAATAAAGCAAAAGCAAGACAATATACAGTATTATTAATTTAACAAGAGGAGTAGGTTTGGATTTAGAAGTGATGCAACTTTAAATCATTTCTAAATTACCTAGTGTTAGAATGAGTAGCCATCACAGAAGAGGACACTATGAACTCAGTTAAACAAGTATCCTAAATTTTAGGAAAGTAGAGATATAAACAAAATGTTAGGGAAAATAGGCATGATTTCATGCTCAGGTCTGGCAGGTCAAAAAGAAACATGGCAGCATGGCTTATAATAGAACTACAGAACTAGAAGCAATTTCTATGAGAGCAATGAATATAAAGACGGTATGTCTTCATTGTAAGCTCTTCTGGATCGTTTAAAATATGAAAGAAACAGAAAACAATAATGTGAACTGAATGTGGATGTATATTAAAAAAACTACTAAAACTAGAAGCAGTTTAGGTTCAGAAAAAATGATAAAGACAACAAAAGAACTTTGTGCCAGTTATATTAAAAATAAAAAGAAGGGAAAAGTCAATCCCTTGGTGGGGGGAAAAGAGTGCAATTTAACAGATAGCCAAGAGAAAACAAAAGTACTCAGCTTGAAATCTGAAGTTTTTTTTTTCCCCAAGTAAGAAGGGGTCAAACAATTGCAAAGGAAGAACCAAATTTCATATGAGAAAACAGTGACTATCAAACTCCAATAAATTCATGTTTGACAGTCAAATGACAGATGTGATGCTAGCTTTGGTATCACAACAGTAGCTGGTTATTGGTCTGAGGAGATCATGAAAACCGGCAGACACTTCAGAAGACTTGGGAGAAGTAAACGATGGCTAACTTAAAAAGGGAGAAACAGTATCTTCCATAACTATGCTCTGCCAACTCAGAATTGGGTATGGAAGCAAGTCTACAAGGCAGCTGGGAGCCCTAGAAAGACAGTCACCAAGGTACTACTTGGTTAACAGTTCAGGGAATACCACCGATATAGAAACTATCTTTTTTCCATTTTTGATAGTTATGGGGTTGATACATCAGGGCTAAGTAATACAGTGATAAATATTTATTAAAAAAAATTTCCATAAAACACTGATCTCAACAGAAAAGAGTTGAAACACAGAAATAACGGTTAAGAAGACAACCCAAGAAGCCAGACTGACTGCCTGAGGATAATAAGCACTTACACTTATTGCTGAGATGATTAAATGAATACAATGTATAAAGTGCTTAGGACAACAGTACCTGGCACAGAATAAGCTTTCTATGGTTTAGTTTTTTTTTTTAAAGATTTTATTTATTTATTTGACAGACAGATTACAAGTCAGCAGAGAGGCAGGCAGAGAGAGGAGGAAGCAGGCTCCCTGCCGAGCAGAGAGCCCGATGCAAGGCTTGATCCCAGGACCCTGGGATCATGATCTGAGCAGAAGGGAGAGGCTTTAACCCATGAGCCACTCAGGTGCCCCTATGGTTTAGTTTTTATCAACAAGAGTAACAATGGAATAATTATTATTGTTACATCCTTGTGAAAACATCTGTATTCATCACATCAAAATGCTTACAGGGGGGCTCAGTAAGCTCACAAAAGGTTACGGAGTTCTTGGCTTGGTCCTAATCTGTTTAACAATGTTATTAATGACTGGAAAGAATACAGAGGACAAACACACAAAACTTGTAGATTCAAAGCTAGGACGAGAGAAAAGCAAACTGTACAACCAAAATGAATTCTCTTAGCCCTAAATCGCTAACAATATTTCAGAGTAATTATAGGTCCTAAATTGAGGTAAACACAAAATGAAAAACTTCTTCCACATGTAAATATGGGATCAGATTTGCATAAGTTTTTTCTTTTTTAAAAAATATTTGAGGGATTTTGTTTTTCATAGGTTAAATGAGCCACGAGCTTCAGCTCCTCTGAAATGGGGTGAACTAACAAAAACAAAAACGGAATTACCAGGAATATTCTGATCACAGGTCATAGTCATCCCTCTGAATATTAACACATACAATTAGGTGCCACCAACTCTAAGTGTTTCCTGACACAGGGAGACAGGCACTTGAGATGAACAGTGTCCCAGATACTGTGGCCATGATGAGTAGGACACCAGAAAATATACACAGAGAGGACTAAGGGGACAAAGAAGAGTCCACAGATCAAAGGCTAGGGAGGCTGCCTTGGCTTCACTGAACTGAAGAACTTTCTAAAGGTAGACAGAGTGAGCTACCTAGTCTCTATCACTTAACACAGATAAATAACAGAGATTATATGACTGTCTGCCATGAAGGTGAGGGAAGGAATTCATGGAGCTACCTGTGAGCTCATCAAGGGGAGGGCATTTTGTTCACTGGCACTCAGCTCAACATACAAAATAGCCTACAGATGGTTGTCAGAGATGAAAGGAAAAGGCTAGGGGAAAAGGCATCACTTTAAGTCTCTTTCAGCTCTAAGATTCTACTACTAATAGTACTTCATAGCTATTACTAGCTAATAGTTATGTTTTTTATTAGAAAATACACCCCAGGGGTGCCTGGCTGGCTCAGTTGGTGGCGCATGTGACTCTAGATCTTGGGGTTGTGAGCTCAAGCCCCACACTGCGTGCAGAAATTACTTAAACAAAAACAAAAGCACTCCAAACTGTTTCTGTAAAATTTAGGTTAAAAAATAACATTGTATATTGGGGCGCCTGGGTGGCTCAGTGGGTTAAGGCCTCAGCCTTCAGCTCGGGTCATGATCCTGGGGTCCTGAGATCAAGACCTGCATCAGGCTCTGTGCTCAACAGGGAGCCTGCTTCCCCCTGCCCCTTGCCTGCCTCTCTGCCTGTCAAATAAATAGATAAAATCTTAAAAAAAAAAAAAAAAACAAAAAAAACCATGGCATAGGGTGCCTGGGTAGCTCAGTTAAGCATCTGCCTTTGGCTCAGGTCATGATGCCAGGGGCCTGGGATGGAGCCCCGCATCGCATGGGGCTCCCTGCTCAGCAGGAAGTCTGCTTCTCCTTTTCCCTCTCCTTCTGCCCCTTCCCCTGCTTGTGCTCTCTATCTCTCTGTCTCAAAAAATAAATAAAATCTTAAAAGAAAAAAAACCAAGATAACGTGGTATATCTTTAGGATTACTTCATTTGTTTGTTTTGAAAACAATGTCAAAAGAGATTCTAATCAAGTCCTGAGAAGTAGAGTTAAACCCTTCAGTTGTACTGCCTTCTATTAAAAACAATTACAAAGTCATTATTAGACTTCCTGTACAATTTCCTGTCAAAAATCTAAAAAAATAGGGGCGCCTGGGTGGCTCAGTGGGTAAAGCCTCTGCCTTCGGCTTGGGTCAAGATCCCAGGACCTGGAATCAAGCCCCCCATCGGGCTCTCTGCTCAGCAGGAGAAAGTCTGCTTTCTCCTCTCTCTCTCTGCCTGCCTGTCTACTTGTGATCTCTGTCAAATAAATAAATAAAATCTTAAAAAAAAAAAAATCTAAAAAAATAAAAAATTATAGCTAGTATCAGTGTGTACCATACAGCCCCAGAGACATCAGATTATTTGACAACCAGGGAAAGTAACCTTGTGGCTCATTTTTCTATACGTCACCCTACTATCAGAGCATTTGGATTATCATTAATCTTCAATAAGAGAAAACAAAGCTTACTAACCAGAAACTGAAATCTTCTTCCCAGAAATGCAACCTCAAAAAGTCTCCCAGGGTTACCTCAGAGTCACCAATTAGTTGAATGGCTTCAGCCAAAGCTGACCAGAAGATAATCTTCACATTTTCTTGTTCAAAGTATGTGGCCCAGGCACTCCGCTGCTCAGCAGTCAACAAATCGGCCTTATTTATCAGAAGGACGTTTTCCTTATTATCATCTATTTCCTTCACATAACATTCCTAGGCAAGACAAAGGTATTTAGAAAGGCCTCTTCAAACAAGTGAAAACTGGGCTAATTATACTGAAAGCCCCCATAGAGTAGTAAAGGTTTTTACTGCCCTCAGTTTTAAGTCAATCCTAATTTAAAGATTTTCTATCCTGGTACTTTTCTACTGATCCTTCTCAACAAGCTCTGAAAAAGTTAGATAATATATACCTAAAAATACCCTCAACATTAGCAACTGGAAAGGGTAAAAGGAAATGCTCTCCTACCCTGTTGAAGTATAATAGATTATTTTTCTTTAAAGATTGTAGCTCCTCTCTTTAATAGTGCTGAGTTGTTTCTTTTATACAAAAGTTTAAGAAATGCAAAATTAGGACATTTCCCAGCCAGCAGGGATTATTTTTCAGCCAAGTGATGACAGCCAATATAATCTCATCTTTTCACGTAAAAAATACTTTTTGAAGACTAAAAGAAAAACAAGACCCAGTAACTGAAATTAATTCACAACCACAGCTCTTCATTAGGAAACAAGATATAAAAGCAGACTTCATAAGAGTTTTAGCATTCTGATTTTTGTCCCTCACCAGTGAATTTAAAAATATTCTGCAGCAGGGTGCCTGGGTGACTCAGCTGTTTGGGCATCTGCCTTCAGCTAGGGTCATGATCTTGGGGTCCTGAGACTGAGCCCTACACTGGGCTCCCTGCTCAGCAGGGAGCCTGCTTCTCCCTCTCCCTCTGCCTGCTGTTCCCTGCAGCTTGTGTGCTATCAAATAAATACCTAATATCTTTTTTTAAGATTTTGTCTATTTATTTGTCAAAGAGAGAGAGCGCACACAAGCAGGAGGAGCAGCATGTAGAAGGAGAAGCAGGCTCCTTGCTGAGAAAGAAGCCCCGTGTGGGGCTTGATCCCAGGACCCTGGGATCATCACTTGAGCCAAAGGCAGATGCTCAACCAACTGAGCTACGCAGGTGTCCCATAAACAAAATCTGTAAAAAAATATTCTGGACTATTACTATTATGGACCCAAACACTAACAGGAATACTTCACATGTGTACAGTGTTTTATTAATTTAAAACCTGTATTTCATTTCATGTAGCCTTCACTCCGTAATTGTTACTCCTGCTGGTGTTTTACAAATTTAGTTTGCTTGTAAAATATGACAAGAGGTAATAACTAAGGTGTGAAGAGAGAGAACTTAACAGTATGGGTAAGCTGCGACTAGTAAGTACAATGCCGGTTCAACTGATGTCTCTTAAAAAATGAGAAACGCTGGCAAATGTCTATTAACAAACTGGCTTCTAAACTAAAAGCTAGAAAAGTCAGGTGTTTGTCCTTCCTGCAGATGGTAATACTAGTTTCTGATGGAAGACACCTGTCTAAGGAGCAGCAGTACACATGAAGAGGCCTCCTTGAACACAGCTAGAGGACAGAACTGAACGCTTGCCAGCAGGGACTGCTACCAGTGATGCGGTCCTCCCGCTGCGGCTCCAAGAACTTCACATCTGAATTGTCACACTTCACTTACCAAATCCTCACATCTAAACAGGAGTGGGTTTCGAGCATCTACTATCTGGACCACGATATCACTGAAAAAGAAAGGGGAGATACTCTAATCACTGTGAGGTGAAACACTGACCATATAACAACAATAGCAGTTTCTGCACATTAAGCATTTGACACATTTAACGTTTTAAGGTACAATTACCCCCCAGTTTATCTATGAGGAAACTGAGGCATAGGACAGTGAAGTCACTTATCTAAGGTCACCAGCTGCTAAGTGATGGAGCTGGAATGGGAAGTCAATCTGGTCCAGAGGACATGCTTGTAATCATAACATTCTCTTGCTGTTCCATGTCCTAGAGAGCCTCTGATGTTTCATTCTAAGGCTTCAACTGTATCTTCTAGTAAACTCTTCTGATGAGGCAAGAGTATTCCAAATACTTCAGTCCAAGGGGAGGTCTACTGTGTACTCAGTACCTAATCTACACTGGTGTTCAGTCCTCAAAAGAAAATGAATAAATCACCTGCTGACAGCTGCCACTATCAAAGCCTGTATCTTAGTTAAGCCCAGGGCTGAAGAGAAAAAAACAAATCTAGCAACTCATCATCCACCAGTTTCAACAACGAAGCATTTAAATGGCTAAAATACAAAACGGGAAAATATCAACTTAAGATGGCACACTGAAGCAGGACCAAGGAGTCCAACTTCTGCATCACACAGAAGATGCAGCAATAAGAAAACTTTCTGTGGCCGAGAGCAAGCTCCTCAGAGCCCTCGCAAATGCAGTAGGGACTAGAGCAGCCGAGCGCTTTGAGAATAAATCTCCCACTTCTCTGGGAGGATCCTCCTTTCATTCTGCCTCCACGGCTAGAAGAGATGCTCTAGCGGCCGGCTGCCACCAGAAGGAAATAAGCCGCAGGCGCGCGCACAGCGGTCTCCTAAAAAGCCGGGTCTGGTTAGCCTGTTCTGAGGTAATGTTTATGCAACTAGGCTGGACACGGAGGAAATGTATTAAATCAAATTTACCATTTAAGGCAGGGCTTTAACAATCCAAGTGCATGTTCTTTCAGAATAAATTTCCAGGGGCACCTGGGTGGCTCCGTGGGTTAAAGCCTCTGCCTTCGGCTCAGGTCATGATCCCAGGATCCTGGGATCGAGCCCCGCATTGGGCTCTCTGCTTGGCAGGGAGCCTGCTTCCCTCTCTCTCTCTCTGCCTGCCTCTCTGCCTACTTGTGATCTCTCTGTCAAATAAATAAAAAAATATTAAAAAAAAAAAAAGAATAAATTTCCAGCATAATATTGTGATTCTAAGAACTCACAGACTTGCTAATTAATGACAAATTGTTAAGTTCTCTAATTAAGTGGGTCCCGGTATTTCTTCCTTAAGGTATTACCTACCACTTTCCCAAACTGTGAGGATTTAACAGTAAATGCAACAATGACTGCAAAACATGGACAAAGCCTAATAAACTAAAACTGCAAGGTCCACCAACATCAGGTCTACCCGCAAACAAGCAGACACCAGGAAGAGAAGACAAACTTCAGACCGCTTGCTTCGTGCTGCCTGAGGCTGCAGAGCAAAGTGCTGACCGTGTACCAGGAAAGGCTTCCGCAGTACAATAGTGCCTTATCCTCCTGAATACGGAGTTCTGCCCTCAGTGCCCCAGCAGCTTCCTGCATTTCAGTGACGTATACATCAAATCTTTTCCAATAACTACGCTTGAAATTAAAGAGGCAGATGGCTTAGCTACCCTGTTACCAAACAGGAGACATCTGTTGTACCAAACACATCAATAAATATTTCCTGTTAAAAAATGTGACAGTAGTCACTTCAATAATATTTCTATGTCAATCAGAACTACTTCCATGTGATAAAAACTATATACCGCAAGTTACAAACATGCTCTTTTATAAAAAGAGAAATACCTCATAATGAAAGTAACAGAGCAAGTAACACTGTAAAATAACTGAAGTGAGGAGTTTCAACAAGTACAGGCTCCCTCTCAGGAAACCAGGTGCTTATTTAGGGACATAAAACATGGGTAAAGGGCCATTCTATCAAGTGTGAAAGAATGAACACATATGCTTCCCTCTCAAAACCTCTAAGAATGAAAGTAAACTCTGAAGCTTATTAGGACAAAGAGAAAGAACAGCAGCAATTGAGACATGGTAGCCCAGTCAAGAAGCAAGTCTGTTCATACTCCCCAGCCCTGAGGGAGCAGATAAGAAGTGTCCGATGCAAGGTCTCTAGGCAAGGGTGAAGTGTAAAACTGCAATCAATCTGAATGAGGAGCTCTTAGGTCTGCTCCCCTGTGCCATCGAGGTAGGCAACTACACCTCCTCAATCTCCTATCCCAATGGCAGAAGGCTAGGGTCTATTATGGAGAAAATGAACCTGAGAAGCTGAAGACTTGGGGCCTCAAGCACAGAAGGTGGGAAAATGGTGCGATACTGAAGAAGAGGGGATTAAACAAGTCTACGCAGCAAATAGTGGAAATGCACAAATTCTTTGCATCCTACCACCCACCACCTTTAGCCATGCTCTTGGCAGGAGACCATTCTTTTTAAGAAACTGACTGGCTCTAGGGAAAACCCCTACAAATCCTAACATCTTAGGGGTATTCCAACAGAATAAAATTGACCCCTACTTGGTCCTGTATAGTGAAGTCCACAGTCGGCAAATTCTAACCAAACAGGGTCTTGTCAATCGTGTTTATAATGCTTCTTCTTCTTCTTTTTTTTTTTTAAATACTTTGTCAGACAGAGTGAGCAAGAGAGAGCATAAACAGGGGGAGCACCAGGCAGAGTGAGAAGCAGGCTCCCTGCTGAGCAAGGAGCCCGATGCAGAACTCGATCCCAGAACCCTGAGATTATGACCTGAGCCTGAAGCAGACGCTTAACTCACTGAGCCCCCCCTAGGTGCCCTAAGAATGCTTCATTCCTAAATATAATCACACTGGGGTGCCTGGGTGGCTCAGTCGATTAAACATCTGTCTTCAGCTCAGGTCACGCATGATCCCAGGGTCCTGGGATCAAGCCCTGTGTTGGGCTCCCTGCTCAGTGGGGAGCATGCTTCTCCCTCTCCCCCTGCCCTACCCTCCCCACTGCTCCCCGCACCGCTTGTGCTCTCTCTATCCCCCAAATAAATAAACAAACATCTTTAAAAAAAGTCACTTGATACCTGAGGGAGGCCTCTTACATAAAAGTCAGAAACCAGAATAAATAAAAAAAAAGGAATAGGGAGTAAAGTCAGACAATGTAGAAAGTAGGAGAAAACCTAAAATCAAAAAAACAAGCAGAAAAACAAAACAATACTGTTAAATATGCAGATGGGGGCATTCCAAGGCCAGGTTTCCATATGTTAAACCTTGTTACCATTTTTCTTTGGAAGCAGCAGTACACATCTTTAACTGCTCAAGAGGTCCTGAAGAAGAGATCCACTGTGCTCCACAGAAGTTCCCCAGGAGATCAGTGGGTCTTCTTGAGCCTCGTTCAAGCCTAACTGAATCAAAGGGGCCTGCACAGAGTCTCGGAATCAGCAGCAAGCTTCTACTTTCTAGAATCTTTAGAGATTTGCCTTGTTACCCTGACTTCCCTATATTCCAGCCCAACAGCCTTCTCTCTGCCCCTGCAGGAGCAGGATGGAGAAGGTATGCAAGTGACTTAAAAAAAAAAAAAAAAAAAAAAAAAGGGTGCCTGGGTGGCTCAGTGGGTTAAGCCTCTGCCTTCTGCTCAGGTCATGATCCCAGGGTCCTGGGATTGAGCCCCACATTGGGCTCTCTGCTCAACGGGGAGCCTGCTTCCTCCTCTCTCTGCCTACTTGTGATCTCTGTCTGTCAAATAAATAAAATAAATAAAATCTTAAAAAAAAATTAAGATATAATCCATACATCATAAAATTAACCCTTTTATTTTATTTTTGTTATTTTTTTTTTAAAGATTTCATTTATTTATTTGACAGAGAGAGATCACAAGTAGTCAGAGAGGCAGGCAGAGAGATTTGGGCCAGGCGCCCCAAAATTAAACCTTTTAAAAGTTTACGATTCAGGGGTGCAGGGTGGCTCAGTGGCTCAGGTCATGATCCCAGGGTCCTGGGATGCAGCCCCACATGGGGCTCTCTGCTCAGCAGGTAGCCTGCTTTTCCCACTCTCTCTCTCTCTGCCTGCCTCTCTGCCTACCTGTGATCTCTGTCAAATAAATAAATAAAATCTTTAAAAAAAAATAAAAGTTTAAGATTCAGTAGTGTTTAGTATATTTGCAAAGTTGTGCGACCATCACTACTAATTCCAATTAAAACAAATCACTCCTTGAGTCCCACAATCCTTACCAGGTGCTCCTTCCTCTGTTTTAACTTGGCCCACTGCCTTTCTATCTGTAACACAGCAGGAATCACACTCTGGATTTACCATGTACTGATCATCTGAGGAAAGACTGCACTTCATTCCTGTGCCCCCAATCCCCCCCAACACAACATATTTTCTCTTTGCAAGCAGACATCTACCTCTTTCACACCCATATTTCCAATAGGAATCAACAGACATTTTTTGAAATAACTGTAGGTACTTCAGAACTCATCTTACAGAAAACATTCACTATTCTCACACGCTTATCAACATGTTTACTTAATTAAAAAAAAATCTATACTTGAAAGAAATATAGCATTACACTTTCAGTTTTTATAATAATTCTCAATAGCCATTTGCATAGCTTAATCCCTGAGCACCCCGGCTCCCGGGGTCTATGAGCATTTACCAACATCTGAATCTAATCTAATACCATTAATGTCTTAGTTACACAAAAGGAAAATGGTAACTTACCTTCTCTCAATCACCCTCCAGAGCTGGCGCCAGAAGTCCAAATTTCTTTCAAATGGAGTCAACAGCAATTTTTGTTCCTCTTCTAGCCTGGCTTTAGAATGAAAAGTTTTTATCTTTGCCAGATTATAATCGAAGGTTTCAAATAGTAAAAACACTCAAATTCACTGCATTGCAAATATTAACTACCAAACTGTTATTAATTTCTGCTGAGCCAAATAAAAATCAAACTTGAAATTTTATACTTAATTTATTTAAGCCCTAGACATTCAAAATAACATTTCTCCCACACACCTCCTTCTGGAAGAATGCTTAAGAGAGCAGTGATCAACTCCAGGGTGACTAACGGCTAGAAAAGAGTATGAGGGAGCGAAGGCCAGGAATGGAGTGGAGTAATCAATTTATCATCTTTGTGCAAAGATGCACTTGTACCCAGTAACGCTGGTCACACACAGAATTTGCACTTGAAAGAAGAAATCTACCATTTCCTTTTTAAAAGAATCAGGCCTTCAAAATGCAAAGACCAATGCAAACACACCAAAATGCTAGGCTCAGAATTTCAAGACCAATCTTTCTATATTCCAACACTCACCGGACAAGTTGACGTCTCCATTCTAGAAAGTTATCTTTCTCTGCCTGTTTGAGTTCTTCTGGACTAGTGTTTTTGTCCCACTTTGGTCTGAAACAATCACAGAGAAAAAAAATTCCATGTGAATTACCAAAATAAAACAGGGGCTTTGGATTTAATAATGGCAGTGATAAAAGGAAACAGGAAAAGAAAGAACATCAAATGAAAAATTTTATACTCAGGATGCCTTAAAATGTCCTACATTTCTGCTCAACTCACCTCCGTGGCACACTCAAGAACTGTTTGTTTTCTTCGTGGAGTTTCTTAATTCTCTGGCTCTCCTCAAAAGATAGCAGTCCAGTTCTAGCCTCAGGATGCACAAACTTGATATTAAGCTTCTCTGTTTAGAGAAGAAAAGAAAGTATTGTAATTGAAGTGGCAATCTATTGAGTGGATATTAGTCATTACCTTAAAATGAAAAAATACAGCATCTAAAACAGAATTTGAGCTTTCTTGATGTAGATGCCTCCAGCCTTGGATAAATAATTTCCAAGTGAAGTTATCTACCAAAAAAGGAATGAAAGAGATAAATCTTTACTAAAGCTTTCAAAAGGCCAATCATTTTTTCAAATACTCATTTTATAAAACTCCATATACTGAATGCATTTCAAGGAAACAGAAACAGTAAGAGTGGGAAGGGACTGCAAAGATTGAGTACAACCCATCTCATTTTACTTATGGGGAATAATTATCACCCAATGGGGGGGGTGGGGACGTAAAGATTCAGCAAGGAGACTCACTCCAGTTAAAACTGGTGAACTATCACACAGCCATCATTTATGTAGGATGTTTTATGATGAATGCCCAATTCACAATTACTACTATATAACAATTCAAAGGAATAATAATAATAAAAAAAAGCCATGTCCATGTATAAACTACAGAGACCTCTGCTCTAGGGCTCTGGGTCTCTATTTCACACACAGCCACCTAGTCTCCACAGGCAGGTGACTCACTGAGAGAAGCCAGTTAAGCTTCTTACCAAATTGCTAAGGGAAGATCCTATTCAAAGATAACAGAACATCTTCAGCAATGTTTCTCTTGATCTTTAAGCAGATTAGAGTCTGCTACCCTTGTCAGACCATCAACACCATCCAGGAGCTCCATCTGCACAGTCCAGTAACCTCCAGTACAGTCCACACAACCACTATTTTCATTCATGCATCCTCAACCAAGAGTCAAAAAACACACCCCTCAAGCCCCGTATCTGGTAATTCTTTCACAGAATTCCTCCTTCCAAGGGTGATCTCCCAGAGGATGTTCCCACTCTGCTTTGTCTAATCTCTACGTGCCTCTAGCCCCTTGAGTCTTTCCTTTTCTCCTAGTCCCTCGTCCGGCTCACAGATTCATTTCTTTTCCTATTTGGCCAAAACCATATAGTACAACCAGTCTCCAACTAAACATCAAAGTTCCTTACTCCACTGCACCCACTGTCTCATCTCCCAACCCTCAGATAAAGCCAACTATCCATTCTCGTTCCCATTTCAGCAGCATTGCTCTGAGGGCTGCGGCAAGTAGCATGATAATGCAGCCACTTGGCTGTGAACTCTTTTTACTCAGAACACTCCTGACGCCCAATGTGTATTTTCCCACACCAGGAACGAGCTCTCCATCTCTCGGGACAACAACTGCATGTCCTACAATTCCATTATATTCTGACACTATCAAGAGTTGTATGAGCCTCCACAGGTTTAAAGGCTCAGTCCCCCAAAACTGTTGCACTTCAGATGCCAAGTCTCTGAATGGGCTTTTATGGAGGCTTTATTGCACAGGCACGACTGATTCAATCCCTGGTTACTGGTGGCGAGCTCAATTCTAGCACCTCTACTGAGGTCCTCAGAACTTCAACCCTCTAAAAACAGGGTTGGTTCCTTGTGCAATCAGCCCCCTGCAGAAGCTACCTAGGGTCCACAAGTAACCCCATTAACATAAACTATGGAAGAGCTGTAAGGGGATTATAATGAATAACAAAAGACACTCCTCTCATCCCCAACTCAGGAAGTTACAAACAAAGGTTTTAGAAGCTCCAGTTATTGGAACCAGGGGTGAAGACAAAACAGCACAACATCACACTTATTTGCTGAAAATAAAGAGTACTACCTGTGTCATCTTTTAAAAGTAGAGTTCCCAAAGAACATTTAGGATTTCTTATTATTCTGCCCTCCTTGGTTAGGCCAGAGGCCCATATAAAAATTTATTTAAAAACCAATGACCCATCCAAAAACACACATTTTCTCTCTCTCACATGTGCACACACACACACACACACACAAATTTGGCATGCCGTTTGCAGGGTTCAAACAGACAAGTGAAATATGTAGTTTCCAGATTAAGAACCCCTATCTCTGTATGTCCAGTAGGATCTTCAGACTGTAGAAAACTGAAACAGAATTCTATCACCTCTGCATTACTAAGGGAAAGGATGAGAAGGTATGAAACAATGAGGTATTAATGGATTTTTGAAAGGTTTATGAAGGTTTCACTGTGTAGGCATGATTGATTAAATCATCAGTCCTTTGTGATTAACTTGGTAGTGCCGAAAAATTCCAATCCTCTAATTACCAACTAGGTCTGTCTAGAGACCAACCCTCATCCTGAAGCTATCTTGAGATTCCTCAAGCACCAACTATCTTACTAGCATACAGAAGGACATTCTTATCACTATAGAGATTCCAAAGATACATAAAATATATACTAATTATATGACAATTCAGTGTCACTACAAATGTTATGGGCTCAACATTAGGAAGTCCTAGGACTTGACCTAGAAGGAAGACAATCTCTCTATATTCTTGGTTCTTCCATTCCCTGAACTCTAACTACATTCCCTTCAGATGATCTTCTACCTTAATAGAAAAATTGAAACTATTAGATATCCACCATTTCACCTTCTCACCTACACATTTCTTAATGCGTGCACCAACCTTCAGCTTCCTTTTGACCCCATTCTATTCCCATCTCCTTCCAGACTCAGACTTTGTTCCATTTCCTCATTAAACTCTATTTCCCGGGGCGCCTGGGTGGCTCAGTGGGTTGAGGCCTCTGCCTTCAGCTCAGGTCATGATCCCAGGGTCCTAGGATCGAGCCCCACATCGGGCTCTCTGCTTAGCAGGGGGCCTGCTTCCTCCTCTCTCTCTCTCTGCCTGCCTCTCTCTCTGTCTACTTGTAATCTCTGTCTGCCAAATAAATAGAATCTTTAAAAAACAAAACAAAAAACTCTATTTCCCTTCATGTTTCTAAAAATTAAAAATTTTTTAACTACATAATACATAAATTTTTTTTTTTAAGATTTTATTTATTTATTTGACACAGAGAGATCACAAGTAGGCAAAGAGGCAGGCAGAGAGACAGGAGGAAGCAGACTCCCTGCCAAGCAGAGAGCCTGATGTGGGACTCGATCCCAGGACCCTGACATCATGACCCAAGCCGAAGGCAGAGGCTTAACCCACTGAGCCACCCAGGCACACCCATAAACTCTCCTTTTAAAAAAATTCAACCATAAAGGCAAACATTCTCTTTGACCCACCCCTAACCTTCTTCTGCCCACCCCTGCAATCTCAGTTCTCTCCCTGGAGATTATTGATTAAATGAGTAGGCCTCTAAGTTTTTTCCTAATATACACATAGATATATAGATTGGTCAGATTATTTCCTTTTCCTTTTTTTTGGAGGAGGGGGGAGAGAATCTTGAGCAGACACCCCGATGCAGGACCCGACGTGAGGCTTGATCACAAGGCCCTGAGCCAAAATCAAGAGCCAGATGCTTAACTGACTGAGCCACCCAGGTGACCCAGTCAGATTATTTTCTTAATGCAAATGGTACCATACCATGTGTACTACTCCACAACTTGGTCTTTTCATATGGTAACAGGACATGGACATCCTTCACTTAAGTATCCACATATTTAGCTCATTCCTTTTACCTGCCACATAGTATTCCATAGCATGTCTATGCCACAGTTTATCCATTTTCCCACCTATTGAACACTTAGGTGGTTTCCAAGTATTCACTGTTTAAATACAGCATTATCTGGGAACTTGTCAGAAATGCAAATTCTCAGGCTCAACCCATACCTATTGAATCTCCAGAGAAGGGGCCCAGGAATCTGCTTTCCAGGTAATTCTGATGCTAACCCCTGAGAACCACTGATCTAGTGTAGATATTGTGGAAACACCAGGTCATAAAATATGCACTTTAAATTTTTGATACTGTGAAACCAGATGCTGTATTTTCAACCTCTCCCTCTCTGCTGGCTCTTACCCCATTACCTACTGGTATTAACCTGGATTACACAGAGAAGCTCACATGCACACACGCACTTCTCCCTGCCATAGTCAACTATCTCAAAAGAATAAAACGTGCTCACGAACTCTACTTCCTCACCTTCCTCTCTTTCTATGCCCTTTTCTCTCTCCTCCAATGCTGGCTCTACCACTCCTCACTCTTTTGCACTTACTCCACGCCTTTCTACAACATCTGGTTTGTTCCATCTCCCTATTAATCTTGTTCTGATTCTTTGTGCCATTCTTCCATTACTACTATTTCAGTCTGGCCTACTTCTCTTGCTGGACTAATGTAACTGGTCATTCCTCCTCAAAATCCATCATTCTTTCAAAACAATGAAATCTAAAATCATGTTTGACACCTGCTTAAACCTGTCGAAAGATTCCTTTAAAGCCCTTATTCTCTCAGGCTCTAGCCCTTGCCCACCCCCTAGTGTCTGCGCATCACATCCTGTCCCTGTGTACTTCAAGTACCCGCAAGGTCAACTTACAACCATTTTCTGAGCAAGGTAAGCTACTGCTCACATACTAGCTTGAGTCCTCCACCTGCCTGGATACGTCGTCCTGTGTCACCTCACCTGTCTTAACACCTACTCATCCTTTGAGACTCAGCCCCAGCGTAAAGCTTTCCTTGCTTGGCCCTAGTTGTCCTTCAGACAGAATGAATACTAACTACATCTTTTATGATCCCATTGTTTGCTACAGACTTCTTTCATAGCCCCTAAAACAAAATTCTGCAGAAACAAAAATTATCTTACTCAACACTGTACTCTCAGTAGCCAGTACAATTCCTGAGAGCAGCTGGAGCCCAATAAGAACATTTAAATAAATGAATGAATTCGCTGAACAGCACAGTAAGGTTTACAACAAAAAAGCAACAGAAATAGTTTATAATGCTACCTGTGCCAGGTACTTTTCTAAGTGCTCAGAAGACACATACAGAAAAACATGGGAGAGCAGTGATTAAAACAGATTACACGCATGGAAAATTCACTACAGTGTGTCAACAAGTGCTTTAAAATACAATTCAAACTGCCTACATAACAACAGCAGGCCCAGGGAGTTGGCTTCTAACAATGGTATCAGAAAACATTTTCTGGAAAATTCTGGTACTGCTCGCCACAATGCTGACTGGTCATTTTTCTACAAAGACTGAGTTTCTTGAACTCGATACAATGTATAATATGAAGGTTTTTTAGAGCTTAATTTTAAAACTGTGGCACATTCTGAATGTCACAGTTTGATTCTACTTGATTAGACAGACCTTCCTACACTCTTCTGGGATATCTGCCTTTGGGTTAAAGACTACCCATTTCTGAGTTTAGTAGGGTCCACAAAACACTTCCAAGTAGACAAATTTGCATCGAGTCAGCAAAGCTGGAAGAATGACCAGTATCTTATGTACTCAGGAATAAGCAACTTACCAGCTACAAACTCTGTTCCTGCAAGTTCCGCAGTCGCAAGGAAATCATCCAGGGAGCTCTGTTCAGTCACTGACTGAAGATTAAGACGACCCCAATCATAGCCATCATTGAGCTCACTTGTGTGCAACTATGAATAAAACACAGGGTAATAATACAGCTGTTCTCTTCTGCTTCTGACATCTGAACAAACTCTAACCTCCCAAGGAACTGTTCTGTGGTCGTGAGGGTGGTGTCAGCCCCTTTAGAGTCAAAGCTAATACCAGTTAACATTTAAGGAGTGTAAACATTTAGATACAACAGGCACTTTCCATTATTTCATTTAATTTTCAAACCTTTTGAAATAAATTTTACTGTATCTCTATTTTGCCGACAAGGAAACAGTTTCAAATAGATAAAAATAATTTGCCTACAGGTGCTGCTAATAAATGGTAGAGAGAAAATCTGAATCCAGACTCTCTGATCCTGGCAGACTTAACTGAAAATTTTTATGGAGACCCACAGTAAAAAATGCAGATTACATAGTGACTCAGATGCTGTGATACACACAATGATACAATTCTGTGCCAAGCAGTAGAATATGGGGAAAAAAAAAAAAGAATGCTGAAACAAAGTTACCTTATCGCATGTAATACACTCTGCTATTTTGAGTTCTATCCTGTTGGGTTAAAAAACCACTAGTTGGTACCTACTTAACTGATTCCCAGGTGCAATCCAGAGTTTGATAAACACTATTCTAGCTACATGCTCATTACAGGAACAAATAAATAAAAAAACCCGAAGATTAAAAGAGTAGGTGGTGGGTTCAAGGCCACAGGTCAGCAAAAAAATTAGAGTAAGAATCAAAATCCGATTCGTTTAAGAATTCATATTCAATCTTCCTACCACTTCCTAAAGGTTATACTGTAACAAGTTCCCTCAAAACCAACTAAAAATGATCAGTGATCTAATGTCTAGAGTAACTTGGACCTGATGACTATGGAAGAGCCCCGTATGCCTTTACTCTGCGTACAAAATGGCTGGACATCAGATGGTATTACAGTGGCGCGCACACACAGCACAGCGAATCTCAAATACCTAGGGGGTATGTCAGAAAAACAAGCATCAAACTACTCCATCCGTTGTTCTAGGATCCTGAAAGTGTGTTCATCCGTAGGTCCAGGGAAGTACTGGGCTAGCTCACCACGGTTTGGAGATGCAGTGTTCATCATCCACCGAAACCGTTCGGGAATAAAAAGGATGCAGCAAGCATTTGAGTTATTTTGTATTTCTGGTGGCAACCAGCCGCTCCTGGAGGAGTCATTCTTTGAACAATACCAAAAAAAGTAGCTTTTCTGTTTTTTCTGCTCCGAAACTTTCAAACGCTCCCTACGTTCACCACGCTTCAAGCTCTCCCAACAGCCTCATCATCACACTAGCCCTCCTTTCCCGCCTCGACCTCTGCGCCCTGGGCCTCAATGGAAAGGGGGCCTGCTTACCCGCCTGAGGGGAACTTAAACATACTCCTCTCTCCGAGCCCTCCTTAGGCGTCCTATTCCCTACAAAATTTTCCTGTGACTTTTGACCCCGCGGCTTCGCAGCATGCAAACTCTCATAGCTTAAAAAAAAAGGCCAAGAAACACGATAAGCTCTGTCTTACCCAGAAGTCGCTGTGACGGTGGTTACGGCTTCGCTGAGTCTTCTGGCGAATAAGAGCCCGGCCGAGGGTCTCGGGACCTGCCGCTCTCCGCCGGCCCATGGCAGCACAACACAGGCACGAACGCTCCCGGCACCGCACGCGCGTTTTCCGGTATTCAAGAGCTCGGTCCCCGGAAGTGACGTAAAGCGAGCCCAAGTAGCGGAGGCCCGAGTTGAAAAGAAGGCGGAATGACTTACTCCAAGCTACCCTTCGTATACCTCTCATTGCCACTACTACAGAATATAAATATGAATATGTCCAAGGAACTTAATTTCTATAGCTATGTCTACGAATATCTCGAGTTTGGATAGAATGATTGAATCAAAATAATGGTATCTTCCAGATTCGTGCGTCGATCTTTAACGTCCGATGAGGAACTAGGAGACCTGAAAAACATGGCCGAGCGTATTCCGCGTCTTAGCCCCGCCTCCCAGCTGCTTTTGTCACCAAAGGGCGGAGACACGGGTGAAGGACGTTTCTGCCGCGCCAAGTGGCGTCGCAGGCTGGCGCTGGTTTTCGCCTGCGCCTCAAGGTGTGGCCCCAACGCCGTCAAGCCCAGAATCTAAATAGTTTTTGTTTACTTAGTCTTTCCTAGCTGTGAACTGGGGAGAAAAGTTCCGGCCCGGATGGAGCTCAGAAAGGAAGCGTCAGGAATGTTTCCAGAGCTTAGCAAGGTTGCAAGGAAAGCCAACCGGATGACTTAAATGTTTTATTTAAACAACAACAACTCCACTTAGAATTGCACTAACATTTCCTATTGTTAAAGTGAAAACAGTGAGCCGGCTCTCTCTGCGACCTGGGCTTTTGGGGCTCACTCCATCGTTAATGGCCCAGCGACGGGCAGATGGAAGGCTGGGTGAGGGTTGTGGGGTGCTGCGCGTTTTGCTTACATCGTGAGAACCACCGCAGTGTTACCGCGTTCAGAGAGGAAGAAGCTTGCTCACGTCATAGATGGAATTTGTAAGGCGTCAGGTATCAAACCCCAGATCTCATCAGCTATCTCGCATGTTGCTGGGAAAAGGGAAGCATGAGGGTTGTTAGCGTGCGTTTCAGAACCCAGTGCTTCTCCGACTTGGTCATGCCTGTGAATCCTCCGTGGAATGGCGTCAAAATGCAGATCTGCACTTCTAACAAGTGACACTGATGTAAATGCTCTGGCCCAAGGGCCACCACGGTTTGGGTAGCAAGAGGAGTCCACTCCCTTCGGTGTAGGGGAAGGCACTGGACTGGCTAAAAAGTCAACCACAGCCAATTAGGGGCATGACCAGCTGGGACCATATCACCCACCATCTCTGGATTCCCTGCCTAGCCCACCAAGAGCTAACTCTTAACTGAGTTGGAGTGAACTTCGGGAAACAGCCAAGGGTTTGCTGAAAAGCAATGTAGTAGTTGGCAAAGCTTCCGGAAGTCAGTGACCGCAGATTAGTGAAGGAATGAATCAGAATGTGTTTCCCTCCCATTTCCTAACATAGAAATGGTGCATCTTTAAATACTGCATAATCTCCATGGTAAGATAGGGGAAGGATCCATGGAAGAGAGTAAATTGACAGTTCCTGGAATTCTCTTGAAGCTGAGTGGTTAACTCTGGGGCACTTGGGTGGCTCAGTGGGTTAAAGACTGCTTTCGGCTCAGGTCATGATCCCAGGGTCCTGGGTTCGAGCCCTGCATCGGGCTCTCTGCTCAGCAGGGAGCCTACTTTCCCTCCTCTCTCTCTGCCTGCCTCTCTGCCTACTTGTGATTTCTGTCAAATAAATAAATAAAATCTTTTAAAAAAATAAAGCTTAACTCATAAAGTAAGATTGCATGGATTTTGCAACAGTAGGTGAGAGAAAGAAGCCTGTAATCTCATTCCTAGAGCTCAGTCAGGAACTTAGGATTGCACCCTTGTTTCCTTTTCCAGATTTTGTCATCTCCAGAGATTTAGAGAGAGCAAGCGCTTTGGGGTTCTATTGTCATTATCCACAGGCTCCAAAAAATCTTAACCAAATAAAGTGAAAATTTAATCGAGACTAGCAGAGAGTCAAACAGACACTGACATTGTAAGATCACAATAGCAGCAACTATTCTTAGCTGACAAATAAGTAAGACAAAAATAATTCTAACATTTCCTAATTTTTTCTAATATTTTCTAATTTTCTAATATTTCTGTCACTGTGGAAAAAGAACTATCTGAGCCTCAGTTTTCTTATTTGTTTATTGGGGTAAGAATAATCCCTATCCTGCAGAAGTAGCAAATAAGATAATGCTGAAAGATCATTGCCTAGTAGTTCATGGGGTACCAATTTTCACAGCTGAACAGTTTCTTTCCCAAACAATTGGATGATGCAGGTAAAAATCCACATGTGGGATTATGAGACTAGTTCATTAAGAAGAAGGAGGAAGGCAATTGAGGGTCCTGATGAGATAAGATTATGGGATCCAAACTGAGAGGAAAGTTGACATTGAGTCAGTAGTGGTGGTAGTGGTGGTGAGGGTAGAGCATGGTGCTGGCTACGGACCAAGTGGAAGGTGTTGCAAAGACGAATCAGCCCAGGTTCCTGCCCTCCCACCATAGAAGCCATTCTACCCACACATTTTGGGGAACAACACAACCCAGCCAAACTCCTCTCATCATTTTGACACGACAGTGGAAATGCTCATCTACCAGGTCCATGTTGGAAAACTGGTCAGATCCTCCTGATTCTCCACATAGCTGAGATCTTCTGTTGAAGCCGAGATTCTCTGCACAGCTGACCTCTGGAGGAGGTTGTGTTGATATTGATTCATATCCAGCTTCCAAAGAGCAACAGAGAGTGTTCCTCATTGACGGTGTTGCATAATCCTTGATTTACCTCAGCTAAACAAATGTAGTTGCAAACCCTGACACCCACACCCAGGAACAAATTTTGGAGTGGCTTTCTGCTCACCATCTCCACACTGCTGTGCCTCCCTGGGCCCCACATCTGTTTGGGGAGGGAGAAAGGAGAGTGGGTGGGTTTCCGTTTTTTCTTTTCACCCTTTGGCCAAAAACAGGTCAGTGGCAAAACCTTGTTCCAAGGCAAGCTTGCAGCCCTGCTCCTCCCTCTCACCCATTCTCTACAGCACCTCGTTCCATCGGGACAGTAAAGCTGTTAGCGTGAGGCTGAGGGTTGTGAAAATGGAAGTCTGGCAGTGTCTGCAGTCATTCAGTCAGTAAGGAAAACTCCCTTCGATCATCTGCCATTCTCAATTTATCCCTGTAAAAAGTGGGTGGATTCTTAGCAGCCCTTAATTGTGGTTCTTGTGACTAACTTAAATCGCTTCAATCAAACATTGATTGCCTGCTGGTGCAAGTCATTCTGTGTGCAATGAAAAGTGTAAAATACCTTTTGCTTTGGTGATAAAGGCTACAAGAGCCTATATATATTATATTAGAACCTATGAATTTTTCCCAAACTCTTGTAGTTTCCTTTTTTAAGATTTTATATATATATATGTGTTATATATATATATATATTTGAGAGAGAGAAAGAGAGAGCGAGAGCAGGGGAGGAGCAGAGGGAGAGGGACAAGCAGACTGCTGAGCATGGAACACAACATGGGGCTCAATTCCTCGAACCTGAGATCATGACCTGAGCCAAAATCAAGAGTCAGACACTCAAGTGACTGAGTCACCCAGACGACCTCCAAAACTCTTGTAGTTTTATGTGGAATAGCCAGGGATTTTTACTCACAGATGACTTTGTAATTATTTTTGTCCTTACAGTAGTCAAGTGAGAAAGGGAACTTTTATTTTTCTGAACTTTTTTCCCTGTACCCATTAAACAATAACTTCTCATTCCCACCCTATGCATTTGTTTTTCTTTTCTGGAGTGGGAAAGCAGCAGAGGGAGAGAGAGAATCTTTTTTTTTTTTCTCATTTCTTTTTTAAAGATTTATTTATTTGACAGACAGAGATCACAAGTTGGCAGAGAGGCAGGCAGAGAGAGAGGAGGAAGCAGGCTCCCCGCTGAGCAGAGAGCCCGATGTGGGGCTTGATCCCAGGACCCTGAGATTATGACCTGAGCTGAAGGCAGAGGATTTAACCCACTGAGCCACCCAGGCGCCCCGGAGAGAGAGAATCTTAAGCAGACTCCACGCTCAGTGCGGAGCCCAACTCGGGGCTCCATCTCACAATCCTGAGATCAGAAACTGAGTCGAAATAAAAAAATCAGACACTTAACCAACTGAGCCACCCAGGCGCCCCTATTTTTCTGAACGTTTAGTTGCACAAATTGAGGCCCAATAAAGTGAAGCAAAGTAAAGGAGAGTAGATGTAGAATTACTAATGACCAACTCTAAAATCTGCAGCTAGGAAGTGCCAGGTTTTCCCCATTCATTCATTCATTCATTCACTTGTTCATTGCTAGGCCTGGGGATTCAGCATTGGACAAACACCCTGTCCCTATGAGCTTAAATTTTAGTGGTTGTCCTGCAGCCAACCACTGCAGAGGGACTCATCCAAGGTTAAATAGCTCAGGTCAGTGGTGGAGCCATGACCTACACTGCCAGTTAGACCCTACTCAACCAGAATGGACTTCCGACCACTCCCCTTAAATTACTCTAATATGCTAACAAGTGTTAGCATGTCAACTTGGAAGGTGAGGGAATGAGAAAAAGGTGAAGGAAGTGTGACTAGCCTCGGGAGTGGGGACTCCAAGGATATGTGGGGGCCATTTCTATTTATGTAAAGGACTGTTACAGGGAAGGGAGAGAAGATTGCTCTGAGTAGACACAAGGTAGCCAGAACTAGATCAAATGGGTTGAAACTACAGAGTGGCAATTTTAGGTTTAATTTCTTTGAAACTTCTTATAATCAGAGTGGTTCAAAAATGGAGCAGACAACTTTATAAGATAGTGAGCTCCCTGCCACCAGGGGTATTCAAGCAAGCATCAGGATGTTCTAAAGCAGGTTCATGCTCCAAAGTGGGGGCTGGAATAGATGATCACTAAGGTGCTTAACAGACTTCTTACCCTGGGAGGTTCCCTTTCTCTTCTCACTACCCTATGTCATCCCAGTATTTGACATAACAGGGTGGTCTCAGAAAAGGTGCTCAGGCTGG